TAGCAAGCCCGCGAAGGTCGTCGAATGAGCGCCAGGCTTCCTTGTCGTCGTCACCGTCACCGCGATGAGCCTCGTCCACGACGTCTGCGTATGCGACACCGCCAATGGAGCAGAACCGGAACTCCATCTCGTTTCGCGTGAGTGTACCCGTTTTGTCGCTGAATACATATTCGATCTGACCGAGCTCCTCGACGAGCGACGACGTCCGGCAGAGGGCGGGTGTGTCGGTTTTCGCATAGTACATGTCGAGGTCCGAGTTGATGAGCTGCGCCTGCTGGTACTTGACGACTTCCATGGTCACGATGAGTGAGATCGGAATCAGGTTGTTGTAGAGGATGATGAAGGTGAGGATATCTGGGCAGAACTCAGCGCCTGTGTAAAGCTAACTGCGAAGTCTTCCTGACCTTCAATAAAGCTTTTCGCTATACGCGCAGTTAGTGCAAGATGTTTGCAGAAAAAATGACAAGCGTACCTCTGCCAGTAATGGAAGACTGCTCGAGTAGATACCACTGTGCGCTGGAGAAGAACCACTGCGACGACTATGAGGTACTATACGACGCATCAGAGAGAAAGCCTACCGAACGAATGCTGCTACCTATCGTCGAGCCGATGGACAAGGCAAGCAGGAAGACGAACAGGAAGACGATGTGAATGTTGACCTGACGCTCCACAGCTGTGCGCTTGATCGGCGCCGCACTGCATATATCGTATCGTTCAACACGCGTTACCTGCCGTTGAGATAAGTACTTACGTTGCATTCCGCATCAACTTGGTTTCGTGTCCGGTGAAGACAACGAGTCCGTATGCCCAAGGAGTGTTCCGGATTTGCGCTCCTCGAAGGAGAAGCTGATCGGGACCGAGTGGAATGGTCTTCGGGACGCCGCCATTGGAGATGAGCTCCAGTGTGCCCTCGTATGTATATAGAGAGTTGTTCGGGTGCTCAGAGCGAAGAGTTCCATGTAGAGCCGTGACAAGCTGGGGGGATGTGAGACTCGATGTCTGGGGGGAAGCCTGCTTGATCTTGAGGTTTGTCTCACTGGTGATGGTCAACAAACAGACCCTGGACATATAACAGGAGGACGCACCCATCGAGATTGGACGTCTCAATGTAACAGAAACCCTCCGGCTCGCTGGAAGACACTAACAGCACGTCCGCTGGGATGAAATCGTCGCTTTCCAACCGTATCACATCCCCGACCATGATGTCCTTCCACTTCTTGTCTGCGAAAGTACCGTCCGATTGAAGAACCTTGGCTGTCCGGGAGTTGAGCTCGGAGTCTGATTGATGGCGTTTCTGCCGTAGTTGTTAGCACTGAGCGGGCAATCATGGAAGAGGTGAAGGGAATGCGGTGGCGATGTTCATCATAAGCTCGTACCAGCAGTAAAACGTGTAAGGACTAGAAGCGACGACATCCTCGTTCCCGTATGCGCAGTACAACACAGAGACGTAAGACACTCACCAGATCCTCCTGAGTCTCCTTCAATGCGGACGCTAGTAGTACAACAGATAGAGGGGCGATGGTGGTATAGGGATTCGTTGGCGAGACGTCGGGTATCTGCTGTATGAGTGCAGTGAAGAGGAAGAACAAGTTGGCGTATTTCGAGAATTGCTCTGGCGGGATGGGCATGTATTAGAAGCGTCCAGTTCGCGGATTGGGCACATACCGAGGAGAAACTTGGGAACAAAGGTAGCCAAGTTGTATTTACTGGTGGATACATAGTTGTTGCAGAACTCGCCGTTCGCGGCGGGGTTGTTGAGTGCGACAACTCGATTGCCAGTCAAGACTTGCTCCTTTTTCTGCCATGGCCACTTCCAAGGCTTCTTCGGGGTCTTGGACGGCTTGCGGGCATGCGTTTTGGACGGGCCCGGGAAGGATGCTGAGCCCGAAAAGGGCTTGGAACCAGGCTGGTCCTCGTCAAAGGACCAGTGGTCTGGTTGGATGGTGTTGGGCAAAGTGAGCTGGGAGTTTCCGAAACCAGCAGGAGGAGCTCCGGCGCGTGCAAGGGGGAGGCCGCTCTCCTTGGACTGCATTGCAGGAGAGCGACCAAAGGCAGAGTCGGGATATTCGTCGTCGTCATCGAAGAAGGGGTCCATGGCCTGTGGAGGAGAAGAGGATGGAGGATAGCTGGTGTTCGCGGGCTGGTACTGCTGCCTAGAAGCGGGGTTGGCCTGAGAGACCAGGCGAACGAAGTCGTCGCTCATCGTAGCCAGCGATGAGCTCTAAGACGGAGAGGATGAAGAAAGCAGCGAGGTCGACGTTGTGAGCTACGCGCAAGACACCCTGGGCTGTCCACTTGCTGTGCGCGCTCAACCGCCCTACGCCTGCTATTTCTGGCTCTCCGCAGCACCGGCTGCTCTATCCCGACTGTGACCTCCTCCTCCATTCTTACTACGGTGACTACCAATCCTCGTCACGCTTTGATGCATGATACCTGAGCGATGATCAGAAGTATTTACCGCGGTGACGTCGTCTAGGATTCGAGGGAACAGATCCCACATAGCCTCAAGTTCGACATGGACGTCCGTCCACTCAATCTCCCGCACCCTCGCCCGCTCACGGCCTGCAGGTCCGATGTGGTTCGGACTGCAATTACGAAAACAGTCATCGAGAACGCTCTCTAGAAGTCCTTGTCCTTGTACATGTATCGCTCCCGTGCCATGCTTCCAACACTCACAGCCTCAAGAGGTATCTGGCCTCTATAAACGTCGACTGCCCATCCCCAATTCCTGGCCATACTCGTCTCTTCCCGCGAGCACACCAGACAAAGTCTGCGATCTTTCCGCCTTCTAGTGACGTTGGTATGTGACAATGTTGATATCACATCACTCGGTCCCAGTCTGATATTGGGCTTGGACCACGTTGATAGCCCATCGTTATGTGGTTATTGCATACCGAGAAGATTCAACTGCAATGGTTTCCTAACCCATCCGAAGTCTCCTATGCTACGCTCTCCCACGTCTGGGGCGACCATGAGCAGACTTTCCAGGATACTCCTCGCACTCTGTCCCACCGCTCTCGCAACGCGCTACGTAGAGCCCGCGATCGTGCACTCCGCAGACCATCTCAGAAAATCAGGGCTGCCTGTGCCCGTGCTCGTCGCGACGGCTTTCGTTGGTTGTGGGTCGACACCTGCTGCATCGACAAGACTAACAGCACCGAGCTCTCAGAAGCTATCAACTCGATGTACGCTTATTATCGCGGCGCTGCCATGTGCTACGCATATCTCGACGACGTCGCACATCGTGACAACCCCAACGCACTCGGCTCCTCATTCCGCAACAGCAAATGGTTCCAACGTGGGTGGACTCTCCAGGAACTCATCGCACCACACTCCGTCATCTTCCTCGCATCCGACTGGGAGGTCATTGGCACTAAGTGGCGGCTTGCTCCTCTGCTCGAGGATGTCACAGGCATCGACCGTCATGTTCTTACCCACAAGCGCTCTCTAGACGATGTCAGCGTCGCCTGTCGCCTGTCATGGGCTGCAGGTCGCAAGACGTCGAGAGTGGAGGACGAGGCCTATTCCCTCATGGGCCTCTTCGGAGTCTATATGCCCACTATCTACGGCGAAGGCAAGCACGCCTTCATCCGCTTACAGGAGGAGATTATCAAGAAATCCCCTGACCAAACCATCTTCGCTTGGGGACGCACACTTGTCGATTACGACTCAGGCAGATTCGTCGAAGTTGCACAGGAGCATGACTACGAACTTCAATGTTCCTCCGAAACGCTCCTCGCTTCATCTCCTGCCGATTTCACAGGCTGCGCTGACATCCGCCCTGTGTCTAACCGTGACTTTGCAAAGAGGTTGGACGTCCGCGAAACCGTGCCCGAGTACGCAGCCACTAGCCTTGGTATACGCACGTCATTTCCCATGATATCTGTGGCTCAAACATCCTCCGTCGATGCTGCGCTCGCCCTGCTCGCATGTGAGGACGCGCAAGGCCGTCTGGTTGCTCTCTACCTCAGGTCTCATCCGAAGACAAACACCAGCACGAAATACTACGTTGGGGGCTTCATCGCCCGTGGCGGGCGACGTAACCTCTACTATCGAGCTACACGCCTGCCATTGTCCGCGATGAAGGAGCAGACGGCGAGAAGTCGTCCACTCCTTGACGAAGGCCGGCTTCGTACGACAGTGCAACCTGTTCACCGAGAGATCCATGTCCACTCGCAACCGGGCAACATGGCGAGGCCACGCGCTCCTCGAACCGAGTCAGAGCCTTCGTCTACCTCATCCATGGTCTTCTTCGAGCCGCCCTGCACTCTCGTCTTCTCCGGCCGATGTGTAGAGCGGCTCCGAAAGATGGGGTACATCATGCCCCGTATTCCCGAGAATGGATTCCGTCTGCAAAGCTCAAGAGAGAGTCGCAGCGTTTCCTTTGTCGGCTTCGAGTCCTTCACGGTGCACTTCGGGGTGTCTCCACTCGATGGATCTAGTGCAACCCAAACCGCCCAACTCTGGGCTTGTGTCCGGTTCGACCAAGACTTCGACTCTCTCCTCGGCGCTAGGAGCCCCGGGACACAGAAGAAGGATGCCCCACCGATGCAGCTCGACCCCGCGTCCGAGGTCGTGCCGGACGAGTCGATGTTCGTGCAGTCTTGGAGGAATGCACGTGCATCTTTCGGAATCAGAGGGAAGAAGCAGGTCCGGCTTGCGTTCAGTTACCCGTGCTCTGTGAATGCAGAGATCTCGACGGCGGATGTGTACGAGCTGGATATCAGGTTTGAGGGGTACTATCAACAGTCTGGAGGGGCGGTCGGTTTGAAGAGGCAACCAACGGTGACAACACTCAGCAGTGCACCTCGACGTCAACACCTCGGATGTACGTAGGGGTACTTATTGGAGGTAAGAGCTCGTACCATACTTCCGTGTACTTCTGTCAAAGTAGCCCTAGCTAGTACTATAGCTTACGGACAGTTTCTGATAAGTAGTGAATGTTCGACAGTAGAATACATAGGCGGGGCGAGAAATTAATGGGAAACAGGGGCTACCGTGGCACTATAGTGTAGTGGTTTAGCACTCGGGATTTTGAACGTCGGATACTGGCTGACCTCCCCTGGGTCAGCCAGTGTCCGGCCGATCTTCCCGCGACCCAGGTTCGAACCCTGGTAGTGCCTAGCACATGTTTTTGTGCCAACAGTCTACAGAGACTTCAGTTGTGGTCATCACGAACGGTCTGGCATGCAGTCCTCCATTTCGCTAATCAACAACAACACCTCCCTTGGCCATTTTCCACCCTAGTTGCTCATACGTCCATCCCAAGACCGTTCCATCTTTTGCGTACGAGTGGTAACGCAGCAACGAACGATGCATGCCGGGCTTCTTATGAATCGCGTCGAGGACCGCCATGTTCTCGCTAGAGAGGAGTACCAGCTACTCAAGCCTGAGCAGTGAAAACGAGCGATTGGGAGTAGAATAGGTGTTCACGCACCGTGATATTTTGCTTGATCCGGTCGGAATTCTCGCTCTTTGGGATAACGACCGTGCCTCGTTGCACTCCCCAGCTCAAGGCAACCTGGCCAGCAGACGAGCCGTGCTCCTGGGCGATCCGCTCGACATCTGGATCATTCAGAAAGACGGGCTGGCCGTCATACTCCTTTGGACGACCTGCGAACAAGAGCTTAGCTGATGCGTCCGAGAAATCTATACGTGGTCATGGACGCACCAAGGGGTGAGTACGCGGTAACGACGATGCCCCTTTCGTCGCAATAGCGCTTCAACTCGAAAGAGGGGAGGCATGGATGCATCTCGACCTGGTTAGCAGCGGGTACGACGGACGCTTCCTTCGCCAACACTTCGAGCAGCTTGATTGAGAAGTTGGAGACGCCAATGGACCGGACCTTGCCCGATCCTATGAGCTTCTCCATATCCTTCCACGTCTCGACGTACGTCGGGCTCTGATCGTGCGGGATAGGCTTGTTGTCTTCGGTGTACGCCTGAGGCCAGTGCATCAGATAGAGGTCGACATAGTCAAGGCCAAGCTTGTCGAGAGACTCCTGCAGCGAGTCCGCAACGCGGTGATGGTGGTGGTTCGGGAGCTTTGTGGTCACAAAGATATCTTCGCGGGGGATACCGGACTCGCGGATCGCCTTGCCGACCTTCTCTTCGTTGAAGTATCCGTATGCCTGGTGATCTGTTCAGTAGAGCCCAGGATACACACTCTAGGGCCGCACTTACCGTGTCGATGTGCCTGTATCCGAGCTGTATAGTGACAACCGGTAAGCGATACCTCAGGCCTGAGGTGCGAGCTGGGGGCGATCCTACCTCTAATGCCGTCTTACACATTTGCTCGACGACATCTCCTCCTCCAGAAGGACCCAGCCAGCACCTATTATACAGGGAGTACTATCAGACTGCGGTACACAATACTCATCACCGAGTACCGACAAGACTTGAGTAGTAGTGCACTTACCCTATGCCGACCGAGGGCATCTTGTGTCCAGTATTGAGGGTGAAGTTAGGTATGTCTGCCGCCATGGTGGTAGAGTGTCTCGGAAAGTGCACGGACGCCCTGAGTACGGGGGCAAGAGACACCTGGTGGTGGACTACTTATATGCAGATGGTGGAATCGGATGGCGTAGCATTCTAGCCCGTCGGTCCGCTGCCGCCATGATTGTCCACGGCCGCATGCCCAGGCCACCAGACCTCACAGCGACCGACGGGCCGATGTTGAGAATAGGATACTACTACCTTAACTTAGACGAGAGGTGGTTTGGGCTCGGCCCGGGACACGCTTCGTGAGATTTCGGAGAACGATTCCCACGGTAAGAAGCGCTAGCGAAGAGGTTGCTCGCTGTGTGCGCCGACCGCCAGCACCTCACCATCATCGTCTATGGCCTCCAGGATCGCCGTCTCTTCCCTCCGGGCCTCAGGTATGACATTGACTGCTCGTTGTATGCTCAGGGACTGACGCGACGTTTCTCAGCCGCCAGAGTCAGGCCGCAGGCCGCCTCCGCTGTTCCACGGGTGCTTGCTGCGTGAGTTGTCACCAATGTCGCGTCGTTCATCAAGTTTCTAACGGGTTGCTTGTGTGGGTTGCGTACACTGCAGCCGCGGGATGGCCAGCTCCTCCAAGCCTCCACCGGAGGAGCGCGCCGCAGAGATCATCAACACCCTTCCTTCCTCCCCCAGCCTCGTCACGAAAACCGGCTCGGTCGTCCTCGGCACAGGTCTTCTGGCTACCGCCATTTCACAGGAGCTCTACGTTGTGAACGAGGAGACTGTCATCGCCGCTGGCTTCTTCATTCTGATTGGCTTCATTTACAAGGTATGTACAGCCTAAGTTACGCGCTATTTCTTCGGAGTCCTACTCCCTGCCATAAACACCGGACATCGTCGACCTCGTGAAACTCGTGCGGCCGTCTCGTTTACAAGATGTAGGAGAATGAGAAACCACTGAGATGTGGAGCTATCTCTCAAGCCTAGTAGGCTTTTTGAACAACCCCTCGTACCCTTCTGGTCCTTTCACGATTCTCCACGGACCACGCGTTGCCTCTGCGAGGCTAGTACGGCCAATCACCGGCGCGACCTGTCCTTTGGATGGACTACACTCGTCGCTCGTACGTGCATATGGCCAAGCTCGTATGGTTGCACTCCGGAAACCGTTTGTCGCGACGGTCCATGTCGTCAACGGGCCGGGGTTGGCACAGAGTGATGCTCTCCGACAGTCCCACAATCGTCTATTGGCACACATGGAATCTCGGACTGACTACGTCTTCCTTCCAGGCTGCGAAGGAGCCCTACCGGGATTGGGCTGAGGGGCACGTCAAGCGTGTCCGCGACATTCTCAATGCGTCCCGTACCGAGCACACTCAGGTCGTCAAGGACCGTATTCAATCTGTTGAGCAGATGAAGGATGTCGTCTCCGTCACTGAGGGTCTCTTTGCGCTCTCCAAGGTACTTCCCCCTTTGTTGCCAATCCTTTGCACGATACCTGACGCGCCGTATCTTGTAGGAGAGCGCGCAGCTCGAGTCCGAGGCGTTTGTTCAGCGCCAGAAGGTCGCGCTTGCAGCCGAGGTCAAGGCGGTCCTCGACAGCTGGGTGCGTTTCGAACAGCAGGCGAAGGAAAGCGAGCAGGCGGAGCTCGTCAAGAGCGTCGTAGACACTGTCCTCAAGAGCCTCCAGAATGACAAGACGCAAAAAGACATCCTCGCCAGCGCCGTGACCGAGATCGAGCGTGAGTTATTCTCCGTTGTCCTTGATCTTTCGGAGGTGGTATATCATGTTGACAATCTCTGCACAGAGCTCGTCAAGAACAAGGCCATCTAGATTACATGCATCAGTATAAGCGATAGATTAGTTCTGAATTGACCCTGTAGCTGGTACAGACAAGTCGGACAACAATCTTCGTGCTTGCGTGCTTATCGATGCCCCGTCATGCACCACGCTGACGAACACGCGTTGCAATTCAGAGCAGTTCGCCCCCTATGGTGGCCGGAAACGCGTCGACGGTCACGGCGTGGCCACTGGCAGCTGGCAGTGATAGGTGGCTGTGTCGAGCCGACCGCCACCATCGTCGTCAATACAACTCGACATTGTGCGAGGAGAAGCCCATAAGCCTTTTGGGCATGCAGGTGGTTCGACTGAAGCCAAGCTGCAAGTACTAAGTGTTGACTACGCTTAGGAGGCCCATATGTACTCGATAATTGAGCTCGTACTAAACTCTGACTGACTGAAGGACTGGCAGAGGACTCCGGTAGGCCGTTCAATCGGAATCGTCAGTAATACTTCGAGGGTTGTTCCTTGCCACTGCCTCTTCATATCTGACCCAGGTGACATCAGCCCCGTAGGAGAACGGTCTTGATCTCTCGATGTGGCCACTCAGTCACAAAACGCCCTGCCGTCGCTTCTTGCTCTTCAAGTTCTCCTCCGAGGGCTACTTGCAGACTCAGGCCCCGCCGACACAGCGGGCCTCGAGTCACATTTCGAGGACGACCCCGACGACTCGAACGTCTGGGGCATGCTCATCTCCTACAATCCGAACAACCCGCACATCTCGCGGACACCCTTTAAACAGACCAGCCCACTACACCACCTACAGCACATCAGAGCTACCGGAGAAGGGGAGCGAATGGGATGATCATAGAGGCATGCCGTTCGTCATGATACATAGGTACATAGTAGTATGGACTTCATCGAGATCGAGATCGTCATCGTCATCAGAATCGCAGGAACCTGGCAGGAACACAGGCGACAATATCAGTATAACGAGGAAGTAGAGTATGGGTACAATGAAACGAAAGTATCGAGTCGGAGAGAGGAACGGGAAAGGAAAGTAAGGAATGGATACGAAGGGACGTGTGCTGATCACTGAGAACAGTGGGATAATCTACCGTGAAGGTCCAGAAACAGGCGCCTGTGCGACCTGCCTCGCTTGCTCTTGTCGCTGGAACAAGACCTCCGCCCAGAGTGGGTTGGGAGGAATCCTACCGACAAGAGCTTTGAGGAGGCTCACCCTGCAGAGGATACGATATGAGTGCAACCGTCACATACAAGCATCTCATACGTACCAGTCGGCTTTCTCCTGGTCCGTGTCTGCGAAGAAAGCGATATCTTCGGCGCCGAAGTACAATCTGAACGCGCGACCGACGTCGCAGGGATTGGAGTCATCGAAGTTGGTAGGGATAGTAGTCGCCGATCCTGGACTTCGAGCTTCCTTGACTTCATCTAGGTCTACGAGGGACGTAGCTTTCCGGAGATCAATGGTTGCTATCGCTCGCTTGGTCACATCATTGTAAGCCACAAGGTTACTCCCAACGATTCGCAAATGTCTTCTGCGCCAAGTCTGCAGGATGGTCAATAAAGCGCCAATGGAGTACAGTCTTTGCGCTCACAGAGCAATCTCCGCCCAATTGAGTGAGTGTTCCTTGCATGTAGCATTGTTTGTGCCAACGCGTGTGGGTCAGGCCTCGGTGGCATTCCTCTAGACTCTGCGGCAAATCATCTGGAAGAATGCCAGGCAGAGGCGGTAACCTGAAGATATGTAGAACGATCTCCCCAATCTGCAACGCCTTCGCTGTCGACCCAACCTCGATCCTCTGCCCGATGAGAGGGAAAGTCGTTTCCATGAGCCGCGTATCACAATGTGCCGCGATATCCTTGAAGGATATGAACGCC